GCTATGACAACAAAATTTGATATTGAAAAATTCAATGGGAGAAATTTCTCATTGTGGAAATTGAAGATGAAGACCATCATGAGGAAAGACGGGTGTCTAGCAACTATCAGTGAAAGGCCGGTGGATTTCACAGATGACAACAAATGGATCGAAATGGACGGGAATGCTATGGCAAACTTTAATCTAGCATTAGCAGATAAAGTATTGTCAAGTATCGAGGAGAAGAAGACAGCTAAGGAGATATGAGATTATCTCACCAAATTGTACGAGGCCACATCGTTGCACAATAAAATTTTCCTTAAGAGGAAATTGTACACTCTCCAGATGCCGGAATCTACTTCAGTGACGGAGCACTTAAACACACTGAACACTTTTTTTCTCATCTTACATCTTTAATATGTACAATAGGAGAACAAGAACGTGCTGAACTTCTACTTTAAAGTCTACATGATTCGTATGATCAACTTGACAAACAGTAAAGTCACCAATCTAGTCTTCGATGACGTTGCAGCTACTATTCTACAAGAAGAAAATCGAATCAAAAACAAGGAAGACAGAAAAGTAAATCTACAACAAGCAGAAGCGTTAACAACGATGAGAGGGAGATCAATAGAACGTGGCCAAAGCAGCAGTTACAAACATGGTAGATCGAAGTCAAGAAGAAAGAAGAATTTAAAGTGCTACAACTGTGGAAAGAAGGGTCACTTGAAGAAGGATTGTTGGAGTCTAAATAAAAACTCCAATCCACAAGGCAATACTGCAAACACTTCAGATGATGGAGATGTTATATGTTGTGAAGTGTCAACCGCCGTGGAAGGTAGAAAGAGATATGCAGACATATGACTCATTGATTCGGGAGCAACATATCACATGACCTCAAGAAGAGAATGGTTCCATCATTATAAAACTGTCTCAGGAGGATCTGTGTATAGTTGCAATGATCATGCCTTAGAGATCATTGGCGTGGGAACCATCAAATTGAAGATGTATGATGGAACAATTAAAGTTGTTCGAGATGTGCGGCACGTGAAAGGCCTGAAGAAAAATTTATTATCCTAATGATTGTTGGATAATAATGCAAGTAAGATTGAAACACAGAAATGAATCATGAAGGTGTTCCGTGGAGCGCTTGTGGTGCTGAAAGGCGAAAAGATAGCAGCAAACTTGTACATGTTGAAGGGAGAGACTTTGCTAGAAGCAGAAGCCTCTGTTGCCTAATGTAGTTCAGATTCTACAATGCTATGGTATCAGAAACTTGGACACATATCAGAACGAGGAATGAAAGTTCTTGTGGAGCAAAAGCTACTTCCAGGCTTAACAAAGGTATCACTTACTTTGTGTGAGCATTGCATAACAAGTAAGTAGCACCGGTTGAAATTCAACACGTCAAATTCTAGAGGAAAAAATGTTCTAGAATTGGTTCATTCTGACGTATGGGAAGCACCAGTTACATCCCTAGGTAGAGCAAAATATTTTGTCTCATTTATTGATGATTACTCCAGGAGATGTTGGGTGTACCCTATTAAGAAGAAGTCATATGTGTTTTCAACTTTCAAAAACTTCAAAGCGCGAGTGGAACTTGATTCTGGAAATAAGATCAAGTGTTTTAGAACAGATAATGGAGGAGAATACACAAGCGAAGAATTTGATGACTTTTGCATGAAAGAAGGCATCAAAAGACAGTTCACAGTGGCGAACACTCCTCAACAAAATGGAGTGGCAAAGCGGATAAACAGAACCTTGTTAGAAAGAACAAGAGCAATGTTGAGGGATGCATGCCTAGAAAAATCGTTCTGGGCAGAAGCAATCAATACTGCCTGTTATTTGGTGAATCGAGCTCCATCAACTGCAATAGAGCTAAAAACACCAATGGAGATGTGGACTGGTAAACCAGCTGATTATTCAAACCTCTATGTATTTGGAAGTATTGTGTACGTGATGTACAACTCCCAAAAAATCTCAAAGCTGAATCCAAAATCCAGGAAATGCAAATTCTTGTGGTATGCTGATGGAGTCAAGGGGTATCGCTTGTGGGATCCCACTGCCCGCAAAGTGATCATCAGCAGGGATGTTATCTTTGTAGAAGATAAACTACAAAGAAAAGAAGACGATGATAGTGCTGAAAAGTCAGAGACTACATAGATACATGTGGAAAAGGAGGTTGAACAAGGAGATTCTTCTGAAGTAGAACCAGCACATGATGAATAAGAACCAAAGAGTTCTGAAACTCCAACAACTCGTCAATCAGATCATGTAAGAAGATGTCCCAATTGGCACTCAGATTATTTTATAGAAGGAAATGTTGCATATTGCCTTTTAACAGAGGACGGTGAGCCATCAACATACCAGGAGGCAATAAACAGCTCAGATGCTTCACCGTGGATGATGGCGATGCAAGAAGAAATTGAAGCCCTTCATAAAAATAATACATGGGACCTTGTGCCACTACCACAAGGAAGGAAGCCAATTGGTAACAAATGGATCTTCAAAATCAAGCGAAATGGTGATGATCAAGTGGAGAGGTATTGTGCAAGACTGGTGGTCAAAGGATATGCTCAAAAAGAAGGTATTGATTTCAATGAAATATTTTCTCTTATGGTTCGACTAACAACAGTTCGAGTAGTTTTGGCAATGTGTGCTACATTGGACTTACATCTAGAGCAGCTAGATGTTAAAAAAGCTTTTCTTCATGGAAATATTGAAGAAGAAATTTATATGCTCCAGCCTGAAGGTTTTGAAGAAAAAGAAAAGAAGAACTTGGTTTGCAGGTTGAACAAATCTTTGTACGGTCTAAAGTAGGCGCCGAGGTGTTGGTATAAGAGATTTGATTCCTTCATTATGTGCCTTGGATACAATAGACTTAATGCAGACCCTTGCGCTTATTTCAAGAGGTCTGGTGATAACGATTTTGTTATATTGTTGTTGTATGTGGATGACATGTTGGTTGCAGGACCCAACAAAGATCATATTGAAGAATTGAAGGCACAACTGGCTAGGGAATTTGAAATGGAGGACTTGGGATCAGTAAAAAAGATTCTAGAGATGCAAATTCACCGAGACAGAAGTAATAGAAAGATTTGGCTTTCACAAAAGAATTACTTGAAGAAGATCTTGTCACGATTCAGCATGCAAGATTGTAAGCCAATTTCTACCCCTCTTTCTACTAACTTCAAATTATCCTCCAGTATGAGTCCTAGCATTGAAGAAGAGAGGATGGATATGTCTCGAGTACCGTATGCATCGGCAGTGGGAAGTTTAATGTTCGCTATGATATGCATTAGACCAGGCATTACACAAACAGTGGGAGTGATTAGTCGGTACATGGTGAATCCAGGCAAAGAGCATTGAAATACAGTAAAGATGATCCTGAGATACATCAAAGGGACCTCAAATTTTGCATTATGTTACGGAGGATCAAACTTACTAATCAATGGGTATTTAGATTCTGACTATGCAGGGGATTTGGATAGAAGCAAATCTACTACAGGATATGTGTTCAAAGCTGCTGGTGGAGCTGTAAGTTGGGTTTCAAAATTGCAGTCAGTTGTGGCTACATCCATAATAGAAGCATAATATGTAGCAGCTACACAAGCCAGTAAAGAAGCAATTTGGTTGAAGATGCTATTGGAGGAGCTTGGGCACAATCAAGAGTATATCTCTCTGTTTTGTGACAATCAAAGCGCCTTGCATTTAGCAAGGAATCCAACATTTCATTCAATGACAAAGAACATACGAGTTTAATACCATTTCATTTGTGAAAAGGAGGAAGAAGGAACAGTAGATATGCAGAAGATCCATACCAAAGACAACATAACAGATTTCATGATGAAGGCGATCAACGCTGATAAATTTACTTGGTGTCGATTCTCTTGTGGCATGTCAGAAACATAAGCAACATGATGGTACAAGGTAGAAAGAATGGTGTGAAGATATGATTGTTCCAATCAAATCTTCAAGTGGGAGATTGTTGAAAACCAAACCAATCCACCGAAAGGTGGAATTAAAAATCCACCGAATTTTTGTAGTCAAGAAGGGGTTGCATAAATTGTCAATTAGGAGTTGTCTTTTGTTGAATTTTGGTAATGATAAAATTACACTTTTAGTCATTGTAATTTAGGGTATTTACAAATTAGTCCTTAAGTTTCAACTATAAATACCCTAGCTCATTTAGTTTCAAAACCATCCCAAAGCATTCTAGCTTTCTTCCAATACTAGAGAGAATTTAGAGAGTTTCTTGAGAGTTGTTTCTCCTTTTTATCAAGAGAGAATTATCATTGTGTTCTCCTTGGTAGATGAGAGAGGTTGTAATTCCTATTTTTTCATAGTGAAATTCTTCTACCGTTGCCAGTGGTTTTTACCCTATATTATTTAGGGGTTTTCCACGTAAATTTTGTGTCTTCTTTATCTTAATTTTTATTTTCTCAAATTATCAGTTACGATTTTGTTCTATCCGATAGCCGTCTTCCGCAACACAAGCATTTATCAACACAATCAGTATGAAATCTTAAATATGAAAGAACATGCAATTTGTGCATTTTATTGATTGTGGATGATCCTATCGGGCGTGCCAAAGTTTCATACTATCAATAGAAGATTGACAGACAACATGAGAAGCGAAAACAAATAAATGTGAATAAGGTTTTGAAACACCTGAAATCTGAGGTGGATTACTATGAACATCAAATGATGGTGACTTAAATAGGTACAAACCACCATCATTCCTACCAATCTCCTTCATCCTTCCAGTGGAGAGCTCCTGAAGAAGGCAAAAATGAGGAATAAAAAAGAACGAAACAATTTATATCATTAGTAAGTTTCGAAACAGAAAGAAGTTTATAATGGAAATCCGATACAAGAAGAACATTATGTATAAGATGATTATTAAAAAGAATAGAACTAGTGTGGGTTGTTAGGACGGTTTTACCATTTAGGAGGCGGACAAATCGTGAATTCAAAACACATGGAATATGATCTACTAAACAATAAAAGTCAAACAATACATGGTTGGTGGCCCCCGTGTCCAAAATCAGAGTGCAAATGTCATAAAGATTCGCAAGTACCATTACCTACGACACTGATCGTTGGTTTTGAAGGAGCCTTTTGTAATAAGGCAAGAATCTGATTGTATTGTTCCTAAGAAAAAAATAGTGTCGCTGGAGTATAAGAAGCAGGCACTTGTAAACTGGAATCAAGAAGATGAACTTTATAAGGATCCTAATTTGTGGTTAAGGCAACTTGTGTTTCTTTTTTCTTCTTGAATCTGAAATCATGAGGAAAATCGATGCGGTAATAACAATTCTCTTTTTTGTATCCCTTAATTTTACATGATCACACACACCATTGATGTAACACCTACGATCCGTATACTTATACTAATACAGGTTATAGTTGTCAAATGATTTACTTAAAACATTTCCCAACTCAAAAGTGATTAAAATTAATTTCTCCAAAAGTGTAGTTATTATTATAAAATATTAAATCACATAAAATTGTTGCATAATATTTAAAACATATATTAATATCAACTAAATCCATTTATAAAAGTAATATTGGTTAATACCATCCATGATGAAATAGGGTAAACAGTTTAGTTTAGCCATTACAAACTATTTCCAAAATAGTTCAACAAAGCAATATTCATAAGTACATGTCACTAACTAAGTCAAAATCACATCAAAGGATGTCTTACTTATATTGTAATATACTCCTCAATGCTTGGTGTTGCTCAGCACTCCTTACTTCTACTCCTGATCTTTACCTAAACATGAAAATCATCACACGCTAAGTATATACTTAGTGAGACAATTAAAATAATAAACAGTGCAATATAACTCATGCATGAAATTAAATGTCATTTTCCCAATGCCATAATATCACCTTACCTGCATGTCCAATATTTTTTACCATAATCAAAATGACATGATATAAATATAATTATCTTACCAATAACTATAGCCCAATTTATTAGTCCATGAGGAACCTGGTATATGCGTCTAGGGTTGTAAAATCGGGTAATCGTTCAGGTTTCAGTCGGATCCTGTCAGGTCGGGTAAAATCGGATACAGGTCAAGTCAGGTAAATTTGATGCTTCGACTCAGATCAGATTGGGTCTAGGTTAAATCAGGTCGGGTAATTTTCAGGTTGATTTGACACCAGGTACAATTCAGGTTTAGGTCGGGCTACTTTCAGTTCAGATCGATGACAGTTCAGGTCCGGAGCAGTTAAAAAACAGGTTAATTCAGGTTCGGATGAACTTCAGGCGGATCTCGTTCAGATCGGGTCACATCATTGGCAGATAAAATTCAGGTCGGATCTCTATCAGATACGAATTGAGTTCAAATTGGTTAATTTTTATTTTTGGATTAATTATTTTCGTCTTTCGCGAACGCTGAATTGTAATTTGTAATTGTATATTATTTAGAGTAAATTACTAAGAATATAAATAATAATTGTTCAATTTTATGAAAAAAATACAAATTCAAGAATTAAATTGAACAAATATGAAATTACAAATTAAAATTTAAATAAATTAAACAACACACATTGATTAGGGATCAAATAGAAATAATTTTAAATTGTGAGCTTGAAATTAATAAAAAAAATACTAAATTATACCCATTTAAAAAGTTATGGGCCAATTAAAAAATATAAATAAGTAATAAGTATGGGTCAATTTCAGATGCAAATATAATTTGGAGGACTAAATTGAATAAATATGAAACAAAAAATAAAAAATTAAATAAATAAAACAATACAAAGGAATCAAATCGAAATAATTTTAAATTGTGAGGTTTAAATTAATACAAAAAAGTACTAAATGATACCCATTTAAAAAGTTATGGGTCAATTAAAAAATATAACTAAGTAATAAGTCTGAATCAATTTCAGATACAAATATAATTTGAATGACTAAATTGAATAAATATGAAATTAAAAATAAAAATTTAAATAAATTAAACAACACACATTGATGAGGGATCAAATCAAAATAATTTTAAATTGTGAGGTTTAAATTAATACAAAAAAGTACTAAATTATACCCATTTAAAAAGTTATGGGCCAGTTAAAAATAGAAATAAGTAATAAGTATGGGTCAATTTCAGATGCAAATATAATTTTAAGGACTAAATTGAACAAATATGAAATTATAAATTTAAATTTAAATAAATAAAACAACACAAAGGGATCAAACCGAAATGATTGCAAAATGTGAGAAAAAAATTGAAACAACTATAATATATATATATATAATATAAAGTATATGTATTATATATATAAACTATATAGTTTATATTTAAATTATTACATACTATATATAAACTATATATTATGTATAAACTATATATACCATGTATAAACTATAATACTATATAGTTTATATATGAGCTATTGAACTATATAGAAACCACATAGTTTATTAATATAAATTATATAGTTTATATATAAATTATATATGAAATATATATATAAACTATACAATTTATATTTATATATTATGTATAATTATAAATAATATATATTGTATACATTATATAGTTTATTACTATAAACTATATAGTTTATATATATATAGTATATATGGTTTAGGGTTTAGGGTTTAAGATTTAGGGTTAATTTATGGAATTATATAGTTTATAGATAGTAGTATTTAAACTATATATAAACAATATAAACTAACGTATACTATATGTAAACTATATACACTATATATATATATGAACTATAGTTTACATGTGAACTATATATATAAACTATATAGTTTACATATGAACTATATATATACTATAGTTGATATTTATATATGAACTATAGTTTATATATAAAGTATATAGTTTATATACTAACTATAGTCTACATATAAATTATAGTTGATATTTACATATGAACTATAGTTTACATATGAACTATATATATATAGTTTATTAGTGAACTATATACACTATATTTAAAAAAATTGCATTCATTTAAAAAATTGAAAACAAAATTATAATATATATATATATATAATATAAGTTTATATATAAACTATATTTATATTATAAACTATATAATTATTATAAGCTATATATATATATATATTATGTTTATATGAACTATATATAAACTATATATGTATAAACTATATAAAATATATAGTTTATAAATTATAAATTATATTAATATAGTATATATATGTATGTATAATTAATATAAGTAATCTATAGAATATATATATATATAGTTTATAGAAACCCTATGCATGAACTATATTAAGTAATAAAAAATATAGTTTATAAAAATTCTAAACCCTACCTAAATATCGAACCTTAAATGTTAAACCTTAAATGTTAAACCTTAAATCTTACACCCTAAACACTATGCATAAACAATAGTTAATATATGTAACCTATAATATATGTATATATACAATCTATGTATAAACTATGTATAACATATATAAACTATATATATATAACATATAATATATGTATATATACAATCTATTTATATGTTATATAAACTATATATGTAACCTATACTTTATAAACAATAGTTTATATTAGTGTACTATATAGTTTATACTTTATAACCTATTGTATATAATTTATAAACTATAGTTTATATTAATGTACTATATAGTTTATATTAATGTTAATTATCTTAACTATAATTTATATTAATATAGTATATAGTTTATAAACTATACAATATAATTTATAACATATAGTTTATATTAATATTAATTTTATAGACTATATTTTATATTAATATTAATTACAAATTATAAACTATATTATATTAATATAGGTTAATATTAATATTAATTATAATATATATTTATTTTAATATTAATTATAAATACCATTTTCTCCCGCCTCTTCCCGCCAAACCCTTCCTCGTTTATTTTCGGTCTCTATTCTTCCCCGCTCAACATCCAAAAGTTTTCGAACACCGGTCAGTAAGGGATCTGAGTTGCAGGCTCAGTTGAACTCGGTTCTGGAGGATTTGAAGACAACGATTACCCTTCTCTGTTCGCTTGCCGCTAGCTGAGTCCGCCCGGTTATTTTAACCCCCTCTCTCCCTATTCTCACACTCTCTCTCCGATTTTCTCTGCTTTCATACAACGTTTGTTCTCTTACGTTACTAATAATCTCTTTATTGTTCCCTGATTTGTCTATTTCTAAAGGAGCAGTGGAGATCCGTTTATCTTTTTACCTTTCTGGATAAGGTTAGATTCTTCATGTAAATCTTCTCTCTTTGATTCTTTGGCGGTGAAGTTTCTTCCCTTGATTTTGATTTGTTTGATTCTTAGTAATAGATATTTGGATCTGGTAGCGATTTTTTTGTTCCAAAGTAGTTTTTGTGAAGAAAATGGTTCCTCAAAATTCGGGGTCAGATTTGACAGGTCTATTCCTGAGGGCAATGACCTTGGTGGTCTTTGTGAAGAAGATCATGGTTTCTTCTGTGCTGGTGGCTTATTCAACCCATCTTTCATTTTAAACACCTTTTCTGGTTTTTTGTGGACCTTTTGTCTAATCTTATAAATTATGTTTTGTTCTACAGCTAGCTCACTACGTTTGGATAGTTCTGGAGGTGATGATGTTGACAAGCTGATCATTAATGAAATTTTTGAGGTTTGTATCACTGGTTAATACGTGAGAGCTATTGTTTTATCATGGTCACAATTATTTTCTCTAAAACTGTCTCATTTTTTAGGTCGCATTGAATGAAATCAAAAGCAGTCCCTTGATATTGTTTGTGAAAGACATAGAGAAGTCTATAGCTGGAAATACTGATATATATACTGCCTTGAAGAGTAAGCTTGAGAATTTGCCAACAAACATTGTAGTAATTGGTTCTCATACACAGATGGATAACCACAAGGAAAAAGTAAGCAAGTTACTATATTTTGTTTAGCTCTGCTTCTTTCTTTTGTGCTTTACAAATTACTTTTTAACGGATTGTTGTTGCCAATTGTGTTTCTGCAGTCCCACCCTGGCAGTCTTCTGTTCCCAAAGTTTGGTTCCAACCAGACTGTTCTGCTTGATCTTGCTTTTCCAGTATGACCCTTTTATTTTGCCTAATTTCTTTTACCTGAAAGATTGAGTATATTGACAAAGTGTTCTAACTGTTCAATGGCGGTCTAAATTTAACTATATACCTGACTTGTCCTAGTGGTTTTTAACTCTCTGCTTGTGTTAACCTTTAGAAGGATCATGTGTGATCATATGATAATGTGTCAAAGGTTTACACTTGTATTTATACATGTTGAAACGACATCCTTTGTCCCTTGGAATATGGTATTCTCCTATTTTTCCTAGCGTTCTCCTTCCAATAACACACCTGATGTATCGTTACCTGTGCAGGATAATTTGGTAGACTTCATGAAAGGGGTAAAGAAACAGCTAAAACCATGAAACAAGTAACTCGCCTTTTCCCTAACAAAGTGACAATCCAGTTGCCTCAGGTGCATATTTGTGGGTTCCTGCATCAGTTACCCTCATAAATCATATCTTGTTACTTGTTAGAATATTGAAACACTTAATTTAATATTCCTGAATCGTATCAGGATGAAGCTTTACTTTTGGACTGGAAGCAGCAGTTAGAACGGGACATTGAAACTCTTAAAGAACAGGCAAATTTTGTTAGCATTCGATCAGTGAGTAACACTTTAATCCTGCTCTGTTTTTTCTTTTTTTCCAGCTGTGTGCTCCCTGTTTCTGGATGATATTAAAAGCTTCTGTCTCAAAGTAAATTGCCTGAATCTGACTTATTTTACTGTCCATGTGTAGGGTAAGTAACCTTATTGAGATGGATGAAAAGTTTATAATAAAAATACACACCTCCTCGTCCACTTCTCCCGAACAGACAGAAGTTGCCTTCTGTTTCCTTGATATATAGGAATTTCTGAATTGTTAATGTGTTTGTCTTAGTATATTTTGTTTGTATTATATCATTATGTGCCTCTACATCCATGCATGATGATTAATGTAATTTTGCAATGAAGTTTAGCTTCATATTCTGATGACGAAAATGTTGTTCCTCTTTCACTACAGTGGTGAGGACCATGTGAGTTGTTTGAACTGAAATAGTGTTATCGACGGTCTTCGACAGGGATAAGCTTATTGGTTCTATTAGTGTGCACAAGAACATCGGGATTTTGGATTTCGAAGCATCAAATTTATTTTACCATGTGAGTTGTACCAGATTTGCAGGTTATACTATTAAGTCTCTTTTAGTTTATGAATTTTGAACCGGTCTTTTCATAATTTGGTATGTTTGCTTTTGGAAATTGATGTTTTTTCAAATGCAGTGAAAAATACAAAAATTTGTTTGGCTTGATATAGCGCCAGGCCTATCTAATCTAGAGTCTATTGTTAATTGATAAAAAGATTTAGGAGTTTATAATCTTATTTTTCATGTCAGGGTGGTTTTGGTAGAGTCTGGAACCATGGTTTATTGGCAAATATCATTGAAGAGGAGGTTTATGTTCTAGTCATTGATGAGGTACACTCTTGGCTCTGTTGGTTTTTCACCTGCATGCTTGGTTGCTTTAATTCGTTCTAAGTTGATTTTTTTTCAATGTTACTGTATAAATTGTCCAACTGTCCAAGTTATGCTAAGTGATGGATGCATTTGGGAGTGGGAGCGATATACATCATTTGAAAGTTTTCTTTTATTGCTTGTTTGTTTATATCTTTCATTTCTTTTTTCTCTTATCTGTGCTTCTATTATTTTTCAGATTATTACATTTGATAGCTATGGTGTTTCGGGTCATTGCAACCATGGTGATGTGCATCGTGGGGTAGTGTAAGTTAAAATCATTTTATATTCTTCAACTCAATTGCACAGAAGTAACATTTTAATTGTTCATAGCATAAAGCATTAGAGGAAAATAAAATGTGCTATTGCCTACATATAACTATTTAATGGTAACTCACCTTTTCCATCATTTTTTCATTATTATTTGAAAAGAGAATATTTAATTTTTCTTTTAAATTTTTAGGGTGTTTAATGGTCCCTGAAACTATTGGAATTGGAGATTATGTCTTATTTATTCCCTTCAAAGGTGTAACTTAATATTTTATATTTATTATGTTTATTTAATAAAAGTTTCAAATAGTTCATTAATATTTTTTTTGTAGGGTGTCTTACAAGAATCAATATTTGATGCTTGATTCTGCATTATTTTATTTTATATTGTTTGCTTCTGTTTGATATTGTTTGTTTCTACTTGATATTTGTAAGGGGTTTGGTAAAGTCGGAAATGTTTGGCACTGTTGGCCATTGAATTTCTTTTGATTTTACCACTGATTGTATGTTTTCTTAATGTAGGGATCGGAACGGTTTTGTGTTTAGGGAGTAAGGAGATTGAAAGATAGAGAATTGCACAGCGATTTATAGTGATTCGACTTTATCAACCAAAGTCTACGTTCACTACCTTAACTCCTCACTAAGGATTTTCAACAAATTCACTAATTTTTTTTCTTTTGAAGACAAAGAGATAACTTTATAACTCTTTAGTTTTTCCGGGTTAAATTAGAATCTTTCTCTTTTATAAAAGGATAAGAAATATAAATAAGAAAATCTCTTTAAGGTAATTGTTTACAAATATTAAGCTCACAAGAACAAAATATTTACAAGAGAAAGATGAAATAAGAATAAAAAACTCTTCTCTTGTGTTTGATTGTTTGGATAGTTGTTTTTTTTATTTTTTTCAAGCGTTATTAGTTTGTATTTATAGCTTGGAATGTGTTTGATGTCGTATATAACCGTTGAGGATGTTTTAGAGCTGTTTAGGGATGATTTTTCTATTAAAAAAGATTGCCAATAACATGGTGTATCGGTGCACTATCAAAGTATACTATCAAGGTGCATCGATATCCCTTCATTAAATTCAAATAAACTAGTCGTTACAGCATTGGTGCATTGATGCACAACAGGGTGTATTGATGCACTAATTGTATTCGAAATGGAGTGCATGGATGCATTACATGGTGCATCGATGCACTAGTGGCAAGTGCATGGATGCACTTTGACACCTTTTAGCATTTTTGCTCAAATCTGAATTTAATGGAATTTGAATTATTTTTGAAGTCTTTTTAAAATTTTGAATAAATTCAATTTAAGTCTAAAAATATTTTGCCTTTAAATTTGTTATATCGAAATATAATTTAACAATCTCTCACTTTTTAATATAACAAAACATTTGAAAATTTGTTTTTGATAAAACTTTCCCTTAATAAAATGTTTAATAAAAAGATATCAATTGTTAACAAAATGATATCAAATGTTACCAATTGTTTGAAAATATATGAAAATGTTAAGTTCCCTCTTTTTTATTAAGAAATTGAATTTTTTAAACCCAACTTCTCCCTCTTTTTGTTATATAAAAAATAATTCAATCTTTGAAGTTTAAAATAACTTTGGAGAGTAAGTAATAAGTTTGACATTTTAAATTTTTTTTAAAAAATCAAAACTCCCCCTCAATAAATGCATTCCAAACAAAATTTAACTTTAAGAATTTGACACTTAAACAAAATTGAATTTCAACAAAGAATAACAAATATGTTAGCAGTACATGAAATTCAATATATTCAAGTCTAAAATACTTTATGCAATATTAATTATTGAAATTAAGTGCATATGCATAAAGTTTTCCAAAAATGTTATGCATTTGAAAATTTTGATATCAATTATTAGAGTCTCAAGGTGAATAAAGTAACCGTCCATGATTAATTATTCAATTGATATCAATTATTAATATTTTATGCAATATTAATTATTGAAATTGAAGAATAACATTATTGAAATTATTAGACTTGCCGGGTGGAGATGAGTAACCGTCCATGATTGAGTTCCAAGCTCTTAGATTGTAGGATTGAATAAAGTACATCATCTTATTCTTCTAATGTGCATAATTTGCTCCATTGAAGAAGGGTGGCTTGTTGACCGGTTGTGAATCCATAATAGGATATTCTTCAAGATAATAAGCACTGGAGGAAAAAGTCATTTTGTTGTCGGTTGCGTCAAAAATTGGTAGAGCTTTTTCGAGGATCGTCTCAAGGTGATTAAACCTTCTTAACGAGTTAGGCTCTGATGCCAATTGTTGAGATTTTTGTAAACTCGAATCGATAACCGGAACAGTTTGCAAAGAGGGGTCGGAACGGTTTTGTGTTTAGGGAGTAAGGAGATTGAAAAATAGAGAATTACACAACGATTTATAGTAGTTCGACTTTATCAACCAAAGTTTACGTCCACTACCTTAGCTCCTCACCAAGGATCCAACAAATTCACTAATTTGTTTTTTCTTTTGAGGACAAAGAGATAACTTTACGACTCCCTAATTTTTCCGGGCTAAACTAGAACCTTTCCCTTTTACAAAAAGATAAGAAATGTAAACAAGAAAACCTCTCTAAGGTAGGTGTTTACAAGAATTAAGCTCACAAAAACAAAATATTTACAAGAGAAAGATGAAATAAGAATGAAAAACTTTTCTCTTGTGTTTGATTGCTTGGATAGTTGTTCTTTTACTTCTTCAAGTGTCTTTAGCTTGTATTTATAACTTGGAATGTGTTTAATGTCGTATATAATCGTTGGGGATGTTTTGGAGCTGTTTGGGGATGATTTTTCTATTTAAAAATGTTGCTTATAACATGGTGCATCGGTGCACTATCAAGATGCATCGATACCCCTTCATTAAATTCAAATAAACTAGTCGTTGCATCCTTGGTGCATGGATGCACAGTAGGGTGCGTCGATGCACTAATTGCATTCGAAATGGAGTGCATGGATGCACTACATGGTGCATCGATGCACTAGTGGTGGGTGCATGGATGCACTGCAAGGGTGCATGGATGCACTGTAAAGGTGTATGGATGCACTTTGACACCTTTTAGTATTTTTACTCATATCCGAATTTAATGGAATTTGAATTATTTTTGAAACCTTTTTAAAACTTTGAATAAATTCAATTCAAGTCCAAAAACATTTTTCCTTTAAATTTGTTATATCGAAACATAATTCAACACATTGCACTCACCTTGACAATTTATAAATATATAGCAAAATATTAGCCCTACTAAGCTTTCAACTTGATCATTTTTATACTTGATTTTCTTTGATCACAAAATCAATCACGATCTATACAACATCACATATTTATATCAATACATATATTAATATTGTACTAACATAAATACATTTCTAAAAAAATCCATAATCATACTTGAAACTTATTCACTATCAAAATACTTTAACACTTAATAATTCTTTTAATATTGGCACCAACTTTTCCAAATATATAAAATGGTCCTTCATCATTTTACCACTTAAACTTTCAATACCAAAATTTTCAGCATTGAAATTATTAACAACCAAGTATATTTACAAAGGCATAATTACAAATAAACACCCCAAACTATTCGAATATTGTATTTAAATCATCAAACTTTCCAAACTTCCAAAATGATCTAATTTCACATCCTAACACTCATTTAAATTCCAAAATAGAAATTTCCAGCATAGTACATCAACAATAAATCAATTACACAACAACACATTATTTTTCCAAAATTATCGATTTGGTCTCTTAACTTTTCAATAATTATCAAATGGTCCCCAAATTTCTCTAAGTCTTTTATAATACTTTCTATATCATTTCCAGTCCTTACATAATTTTCCATAATTTTCTCAACCATATAAGCCATGGTCGAATGTTC